TATGTATTTTGTTTTTGAAAAGGCACTTACTGGGGTTTACAGTTTATTTTTAGAGATAAATAAGTATTGATAACGTTTAATGAAGATTACACTGACTCACTAAATGTGCATTTACTTTGATAACGGTTGGTAAGTATTTTTGGAAACCTGGGGCATGTCTGACTTTCTTCAAAAACATTGCGATCACTATTTTGGGATCACTAACTCACCCTATTTTAAAATAAGTTCTTAAAGTAAGCTGCAGAAGAAAAGATCTCATCACAGGTGGTTTTTTTTTTTTTTAGTCTTACTATTTTTCAGTTGCTCATTGTCTTGTCCAGCTGATTTTTAATGAAATTTTTGAGTAACGAGTACTATGAAGTCTTCTCAAAACTAGTAAGTTCTTGGCACTGTGTTGTATTTAAGACTGTCAGGTTTGCTGGAGAATATATGCTGACCAGGAGTTTAAAGTTTTAGGCATGGATTTTTTTTGTTTGTTCTTTCTGATACAAACTTCTATGTATGGAATACAGAGTACATGCAGATACGTTGTTTAAAAAACCCCAAACATAGCCGGTACTATGTTTTCCTATAATTCCAATATTGCTAGCCATGTTGGGTGCATTGTTTTAGATATTGACGGCATTGTTTCACCTACCGTGCTGGATTTCTGGTAATTAAAATTACATAGCATTGTTGGGAAGCTTACTGCAATCATGTCCTCACTTGCAAATGATGAATGCGTATAAACTAAAAATATTTAAATGATACATAATTGCTAGGTTCTTGACTCAACAATTTAGTTCGCTCTAGAGAGAGGGAATGAAAAAGGAAAACTGTTCATTAGGGCTTAGGGATTCAGCCTGGTGTATTAGAAGGAATTGGATTATTCGGTTTACAGTGTGCTTAACAGATTCAATTTCAGCCAGAGATAATTGAAGTGTCGTCAAAGCTGTGTGCATCGCTAAAACATACAGAAAGACATACTCCCATGGGTTCAGTAAAACAATATAGAACAATGTGGAGTAGCTTTTCAGAGATTTAACTGCCATTAAGTTGAGCCTGCTTTTAAAGTATATTACAGCAAACTTAGATGAATGCCTTCCTGTGTAGTTTGCAGAGGATGAATATGTTTAGATTGTTTTCTTTCATTGTTGAAGGAATCTGCGTAACAAATTATTATTATTAATTTAATGCCAAAACTTATGACTTTGTAACAAAAATTCATCCATGTTTCTGATCAGTATATTTCTAAAATTCTCCCAATTTCTTTCTTAACATTCCCTATAAAGGCAGATTTGGATTTTAAAACTATTTTTTAACACAATGAATGATGCCATATGTAAAAATGTAGTTTAGTTACTGTTCATTGCTAGACCAAAATACATGATTATTGAGAAAGATCTGCTACCGAACCCTTCAGTGCACCGCCTTTGCAGAGGGGATTGTGTCTGGTTTCAGCCGACTCACTGCCCCGGTCTGCGCTGTAAATACATTACTGCGCCGGCTTGGGTACTTTGGGCGTTGTTCTTGTCAGCCAGCCAGATTCTAATGCAGTGTCAGAACCGATAAACTCCTTTCATGCTGTGCTACAAAATGGACTTAATCATATTTGCTTACATTTATATTCTGGAGAACACTTGAAGAGGACTATCTAGGCTGACTTGTAGCAAAAAAAGCCGGGAACGGAAATTCCATAGGGTCAAGGTGGAGTTAGGGTACGGCAAATAGTTGACATTTCATGACCATTTATAAGGGTTTTACTGATGTCAAGATACTGATGATCAAGGCCCAGCTGATGTGAGTGCAGAAAAAATTGCTTGCTCATGACCTGTTCATGCAGAAAGCATAAGAATTTTGGGAGACATGCAGGCAGAAGAAGGTGTGATATAAGTGAAACAAGTACTAAAATGTTAAATAATCTTTGGAAAGGTCATCTGCTCATTTGGATGCTTGCTTGCCCCATGAAGTTTCTTTCTACCTACTTGTCAATATATTTTGCAAATGTTGGGGTGAATTGTGGATTTTCCCCCCATATTTTATTGGGTTTTATTGGATTTCACATTCTGTTGGTTTTGTTTAAAACAGATACAAGTAGTTCTTGTGAAAGTAACTTCTGGTTTTTCTAGTCCTTTGAACTCACTTCCGAACATAAATATTTCTTGTGAGTTCTAGGCTTTTTTTTACTTTTTTAAAAAATCTAACGGATTCCCACTGTATTTGTGTATAATGGACATCAACAGGGTTTTAGTAAAACATTGATTTTTATTGTTCTTTAGGTCTGAATGTGAGGTCATTAATTTATATAGAAACTACAAAAATGTTTTACATTTTATAGTGACGCCTACTAAGTTTTTTAACAAAATGTTTTATCTTCCATAGAATTGGAGTACTTAATATATTTTATGCGTAAAAGATATAAGGAAAAGCTTTTTGGTATCAACACAGAAAATCACCCACTAGGGCCGCTTCATAACCATTTTAAAGACGGTTTTCATAATGAAACAGATTATCGCTTTTTGAAGGCTCCTTAAACACTGTTCCTAGATAGAGAAGGCCAGGGAGGAGAAGCCGTTGTAGGTGTTAGACCCTGCGCTGGCCCGAGAGAAGCGCAAGATGTAATATCACAGTACATGTTACATCTGTAAGGAGAAAAACCTGAAGTGTTGGTTTAAGTTGTTTTACCTTTATCGGGTTTTTTTAATTATTGAAGTAGGCAAGGTTATTATTGCAGAAGCTATGCTGATTTAAATGATCATAGTTAATTCTGTATGAGCTTGACAAGGTAAAGGCAATAAGAAATGGATTCACAAGATAAAACTTGGTGCTTTGTGCTGTTTTCAGTTCACTGATTTCAAAGCACTTTACCAGGATTAATATTCTAAGCCTCCACACAATTCCCAGGAGGAAGTTAAGCATTATTCACATTTTAGAGATGGGTAAATGAAATCCAGAGAGGTTATAACCTGTACAAAGTCACACAGAGGCACTGGGCCTCTGGAGAATGAGGGAACAGACACAGAAATTTTTGCATCTTGTTACCTGCTGTTACCCTGTGAGTAAAAGATCACCTGGCAGATACAAAAAACCCCTCTGAGACTCCATAGTTTAAGCCACTTTTAACCCATTTAATGGGTTTGTAAGTAAAAAGCAGCAGTTATTTCATGCAGGTCTTTAATTCCTAGTGAGTAATGTCATGTCTGACCTTCAGTAAAGTTGTTTTCTGTGTGGCAGCACGCTCATATTATTGTATCGTATCTACAAAGGTAAGACTGCAAATACTGGAGTGTCCTGGTTCATTGGCACTCAGGTGAAATGTCATTTCTTCTGGCGCTTTGCTCTGCAAGGAGCAGTGAGCTGGGAGATCAAAAAGCCCCTTTCTAACTCTTCCTATGACGCTTGGTATAGCTCAAAATTTTAGTTCACTGTGGGGACAAAAAGACTAAAATGATGGAGAAACTAGGGTGATTTCTGTCTCTTTGTTGTAAGATGCAAAATAAGTAAGGTCATCTGTACCCCCAGCTGCTAAATACAGTGACGGACATAATCAAACTGTAGAGTTTGCCAAGAGGGTTTTGAGTGACTGTCGTTTATCTGCTTGACAGAAATTCCCTATTTTCCTGAATGTATTTGCTTGCTACGTGCTGACTAGGTAGTTTTCTGGCTGTAGTGCAGCACATCTATTTGTTTATATATGCCTTCCCCCAATGCAAGCACTTTGAGATTATGTATTGATATCATACTGTGGTATTCACGTAGGTACACTGCAACTATGTTCTTTGCGGTGTATGTTTGAAAAATTAAAATTCAGTTATGCATGCAAATGCATAATATTATTAATGAGCATACTTTTATTATAATTAGTGATGCTCTTCAGACATATTGATTCATCTGCTAGGGAGATCAAATTACTGTAGCATTATGGTTTTTCCTAGTCTGTAGCAAAACCAAATAAATGGGATAGAAGCCTGAGGTATTTTGGACAAGGTAGGATCATGCTTGGAGAAATGAAAAAACAGAGATGACCTTTGAAAGTACTGATATGGAGGAATGAATGTTTTCTTAATATCTCCTCATTTGTAATTCTTTTTACAGGCTCGTTATTCATCAGAAATGTTTTGACGCTGTGTGGTATTGCTTTCAAAGCTGAAATATAGGGAAGGAGCTGAAATTTAATAACAATAATAATAATAATAATAAACTACTTTGCTCTAGTTAAGTGAACCTTTTGCAAGTGACATAATACTTCCTTGGTTACCTTTGTGTTTCAGGATGGATAGTATGTTATTTTCGTAGCTGGAAAGAACAAAAATACCTACTTTAGAACACTTTCCTTGAATGCCCATAAGAATTCTTTTTGTACAATTTCTTTTTATTGATAGTTCAGTCTTTAGTTCCAATGAAGTGATCACTGAAGATTCAGTTTAGCAAAGTACTTAGTATTTGCTTAAGTTAGAACAGATGAGCTGTCCAGCTGTCTGTAAAAGAATTATTTATGGTGCTTTTCAAACTGTTGCCTAATTGCCAAAGGAAGAAGGTACGCTATTGGGCGAGAAATCAGCTCTTACTCTTACAGAGCTCCAAGGAGTACAACTGCTGCGGATGTAATCACGGTGCGGCCTTGACGAGCAACACCTAGAAGGCAGAGTTCTGCTAATGCCAGGGCGCCTGAGCAGGTGATTGGCAGGCGGAGGCACAAGGTGGTAGGCTGCCCTGGAGAGATGATCATCCTGTTTCAGTGGACAAACTTGCAATTTCTTCAGATGGCAGAACAGTCTCTTGCTCAATGTCATTCAGATAAAAGGCATTCTAATGGGAAGAAAAACACGTTAAGTGAAGTATGCAAAGTCTTGAGCAGTGGTTACTGACTCTTGCAGTTTTGTGGCTGATGATATCCAGGTGTAGAAAACCAGGTATTTGATCCGTAGCCCAACAGCCGTTAAACTCCTAATGTGTCAGTAGTAGCAAGTAACATCAGAGGGTACACTGACAGTGGATTGTAGCTGGTTTTCCTTTCGGAGATGGCTGTGTCTGAACCGACATTCAGACGTGTGTTACCGCCGTGCCAGTGCTATATCCGAGTTCAGCTGGAGCGTCTCATAACTGCTGCTACAGGGAGGAACCGCGGCACGAAGCGTACGCTCAGCTGGCGTGTTACCGTGCGCCTGTTACTTTTGTGTACAAACTGAGGAAATCGCATACCCTGCACATGGTAGCACTACGGTGTTAAGCACCCTGATTAATGAACCAGGGGGAGAAGAAGGTGAAATTTTCAGCTGTCATGTAAAAATCTGTTGTGACTGGTTCTTGTGTTTGTCTTGAGCCAGTATTTTGTCGTGTGCTTACATCCACTAAGAGTATAGCTTTTTGCATGTATTTTGGTTGCATATTTTCATGACACATAAGCTACTGTCTGTTCAGTTAATTCTTGCTTTTCAATTAGTGATTATTGATATTTGTTGAGAGGTAGGATTAAAAAAATATTTGCCTTCATTCACAAGGTCAGCGATTGATGTTTAAAGCTGCCCTTTTACACTAGTGCTTCAACTGTACTTTTTTTGGTACTGACTTCTTATGGCTAGTTACTACTAAGTTGGGTACTGCAATCGGCCTGATTTTAGGTTGTCTGAATTGGAAGCAAAATGTTACATGTCAGGAAATAGGAAGTTTTTTAATGAGCTGACCAGTCCAGCGGCAGGGGCAGGGGGTGAGCGATGTCCATGCATTATAACTGAGCAGCAGTATTCCAGAAGCCTTGCTTCAAAACACCTAACACCCCTTTTAAAATATGGGCTTTGATAGAATACAATTTGTTTCAATCATGATGTGGTAAATTCATCCTTGGGGATATCAGGAAGGAGGAGTTCCATCAACAAGTGTCTGCCTTTCTGTCGAGATCTGATTAGTTGTGAAATTACAAGTAGCATTTTAGACATGGTTACAGTAAAGGTTACAGGCGCTCTTTGGATCTGAAATTTCGTTTTAGAGCAAAAGGTCCCCAAGGGCTGGTTTAATTTATTTAATTACATTGTACAAGACTTGGGTAATAGTTTTAGATCAAACTATAAAAACCAACTTCCAGGCAAATTTGTAATATAATTCAAAGTGGTAAATTGCTAAGCATTTCAACAGTTTTGCTTCATAGGACAGAATGATACAAGGATATGGATTGCATTGATATAGTACAAGTGTAAGCCTTATATTAAAATCATAAATAATAAACTAGGAAAAGTAACTTGCTTAATTGTAATGGCAGCGTATCTTCCTTGAAAAGATTGTGCTACAAAACTGAATTAAATTGGCCTAGGAAGCCCTCAGGCCTTTTTAAGCATTTCTTAGGCCCCTCGGTAGCTTGGATGGGGAAGATGGGCTTTAAATCTAGTATTTTCATAAAACAATTCTATTTCAAAGGGTTCTCTGCCCATAGTGCAGAAAGAATTCTTTCATTAGTTCTAGGTCTTCCCTTATTAGGTGTGTCATAGTGATGGGTGAAGCTTTCTTACATTTTCAGATTCCCCTCATTGCATACCTTGAGTGATGCTTCTTTTCACTCTTCCCACTTCCCATTCAAACTTCTGTATCCATTTTCCTAGACATGACGTTTTGGATGGTTTTTTCTAGCTATTTTACTACCACATGCCCAATGGTGTTGGGCATCTGCAAGCTGTTCACCTGTAGGTCTGTGATTAGCAACATGATGAAAATGACTCAAACCCAGCATCACCAAAGCAAAGCAAAGCAATAATATACTCATTTTTCTAAAGGTACAAAGTGCACACAGCAAGAACCAGAAAGCATAAAATAATTTAAAGGTCCAGATCTTTCTTACACCCTAATCTTTTTTTGCCAGATCTTTTGATTTACCCATAAGCAAACTATTTTCAGCTCTCTTGCTAGAAGTAGTAAACCACTTGGTTTGGGCATGCCATTCTCTGTGTGTTTCCTTTCTAATCGGTCAACTTGGACTGTCATTCACAGCGTCATGTCTGATTACTAATGCAGTTTCAAGGCCAAGGCTCCACTAATGGTAGTCATTTCTAAAACTTGACAAAGGAGATGTATTATGAGGGTGGAGGCTGGTGATAAATCTCAACTGTCGTATCTGGTGTTAGCGAGTCTGACTTTTATCTGAGTTACTGTTTTACAGTTCTTACATCAAATCTTTTGATCCACAAGCATATGCTACATCCATCAGAAGTTTTTCCAATTCATCATGCATGGTCTTACAGCTTCTTTTTATAATTTTTAAAAAAGAGACCAGCAATTTCATTGAAGCCTTCCTTTAAATAAAGGCGCTACAACACTTTGCCGTCAGTGTTCCTAAGATCAAGATCCCTCTGAAATGTAGTACAATTTCCTCTGTTTCATATTTAAAGGACAGTTCTGTTTGTTTCTGTATTCATCTGCTACTTTTTCATGGTTTTCATCCTGCTTATTTAACCTATTTACCAGTACAGCAATGTAAGTTTTTGCTCAGCTAAGGTGAAAGCTATATCTGGTCTAAGAGCTGTCTTCCTAATGATAGCTCTGACTTCAAATTTTTCCACCTAAATAAACTGTGAGTACATTGAATTTTAATATGCAGATTCTTGTTCTTGGAACAAAAAGCAGCAGCATACACAAAAATTACATCAGATACAGATAGATTTTTCTTTAATCAACTTTATGATCAGTTTAATGAAAAAGGTTAAAAATGAAAGAAAGGAGTAAAAAACTGATGAATATTGCCCAACTTAGTTTTCTCCATGGTAACTGTCAATGCAACACTAAAATTTTTCATATGCATATATTAATTATTACACCAGAAATAACAGTAACTATAGAGCTACCGTAGAACTTCTTTATGCTAAAACACAGACGTGTCTTTTCTGTTGAACGACAGAGAGAAAAACTGAAGTGGTACTATCTGCTCCCTGGCTTCCCAGCTTATCAGACAATCTTCAAATTATCTTTTAGTTCTTTTGGCCATTTAACACTAAAACCATTCATTCCCAATTAATACAAAAAAGTTGTTTTGCTGATTCTCTGTGTTGACTGGATCAAACAGTATTCACTATGCTTCTTGCACAAGCCAAACAGCCGCCTTTTGTTTAAATTTTGCAGCCCCATGGCAGATGATGAAATCTACTGGAGTTTCCAGGTTTATAAAATTCTTGAAACATCATACTAAAACTAGAATGGGAGAGTCTTTTTGTTGTTCGCGGAGACAAGAGTTTAAATCTCCAGGTAGCTCGCCCGTTTTCAGAGATCTGTATTTAAATAATTCTCTTAAAATGTTTGATTAGTCTTACAATGTGCTGTTTAACATCAAAGATTTGGTCAGTGGTCATGATTCTTTTTTGTGCTGAAGTCCCTTTTCATGGTAAAAGAAGCATTAACCGGTGGTTAAATGGTTTGTTCGGTAATAGATATCGTTTCCAAATGGATGTGAAAAACTACATGTGGTTTTTGCTTGTTTGTTTTTTTTGTCCTTACGAAGTTTTTCTTGAAACTTTT